GCACTGGACATTGTTACATCATATCACAAAGCACATTGTTACATTATATAATGTCACACTGGACATTGTTACATCATATAGTGTCACACTGGACATTGTTACATCATATCATATCACACTGGACATTGTTACATCATATAATATCACACTGGACATTGTTACATCATATAATATCACACTGGACATTGTTACATCATATAGTGTCACACTGGACATTGTTACATCATATGATGTTACACTAGACATTGTCACATTATATAATGTCGAACTGGACACTGTTACATCATATCATGTCACACTGGACATTGTTACATCATATAATGTCACACTAGACATTGTTACATCATATATTGTTACACTGGACATTGTTACATGATATAATGTCACACTGGACACTATTACATCATATAATGTCACACTGGACATTGTTACATCATATGATGTTACACTAGACATTGTCACATTATATAATGTCACACTGGACATTGTCATATCATATCATGTCACACTGGACATTGGCACATCATATAATGTGACACTGGACATTGTTACATCATATAATGTCACACTTGACACTAGTACATCATATAATGTCACACTGGACATTGCCACATCATATAATGTCACACTAAACACACTTAATTATGTCGGGCTGTTATTATCATACAATACATTTACTCATGTATATATTTTTACACTAGACTCACACCGTTTGAATTGTCACACTATATAATGTCACTTCATAGGTTATATAAAATATCACGTTATATACTGTAGTACTACACATCAATCTGTGTATTGGCACTGTACACCTACACATGGGTTCATCATGAATAAACTTACCAGACATTGTGCCACCGGTAATGATTTAACAAAACAAACTGCTGTCGCTGACAGTACGTATTGCAGTAACAATTTATATTCTGTGTTGTAACATCATAAATTAAAAAGCTAGTGTTATCAGTGTTGCAATTGTTTTATTTACATAAAACATGTATTTGCTAATGGATATCTAACGTGAAAGAAATTGATCAGTGCGTTAAATCTCAGTTGTATTAATGATGTAGCATATGTGAACTGTTCACAGTTTTCTGTTTATGAAGATACACTGTCAATTCTCTGTTCGACTAGACTTTTATAGTTTGAAATGCTTTTAATATCAAAATAATGATTAAAATAGACCTGTTAACATCTGTTAAATACCAATTCTGCCTGCAGCTAACCCGTCGTTATTGTGTTTATTGCTGTACAAATGGACCTGGCATTACATTTCAACCACCTGTTCCCCTATACGAAGTGTTGGGGAGGCTGTTAGACTTATCAGATAATGTAAGTGTAGCACTAGCATGTTTTAACTTACATGTTATCGTCCGTTATCGTCTCAGACATTCCATTGGTAAACGAAAGGATAATAATGTAATTAGTTTTGACTTACATGTTATCGTCCGTTATCGTCTCAGACATTCCATTTGTAAACGAAAGGATAATAATGTTATAAGTTTTGCCTTACACGTTATCGTCCGTTATCGTCTCAGACATTCCATTGGTAAACGAAAGGATAATAATGTAATTAGTTTTGACTTAGGATGCTTTCAGTAAAGACCGACAAATGTCCCCGGAAGTAGAGAAGGAATTGTGGTTCTCGCCAAATATTAGTTAAATATTTTTAATGTTATTTTGCTAAAAGCAAATTTTCTCTGGGCTGGATTTTTAATGTGTTTTTATGTACTGAAAGGGGGATTAAGATGACTTTACTTGATTCTTAATTACTTCTTTATTGAATTAAATGTACATGATATCAACGTTAGAATTCCCGATGCTGTAATTTAATTTGCTCTCACACAACCCTAGTATACACATCCTCTCACACACATACATCCCGCAGTGTTATAACATTAATACAAATCGGACGCTAGAGTTGTTTGTTACGAATAGCTGTGCGTTATGTTTTTTCTCTTACTTTTTAAAGATTTGCTTCAAATTATTTTTTCGGCTGTTATCTTCCGAGGTTACAATTTCTCGATTATCCCACATGGTATGATCGATAGCTCAATTACATGACAATCATAACACATTTGAAAGGAACAATCAGATGACGTCAAATGGAACAATAAATTTGATGTCACAATAAGCTTTCAACTAGAGCAAAAATCAAGAAAGAAAGAAAATTACAAATGGTCATATCAAATTTGTTTGAGCATATTATTGAAAAAAAAGATCATTCAAGACATCCTTCAACACCGTCCTGTCACTACAAAAATATAGCGTGGGTTTGTAAATTAGAAGTAGGCCTTCAATCACTACAGACTGCATCTAAATCAAATCATACCTTTCAGTAGACATGTGGATAGATTTAGGATTTACGTGTTCTATTGATTGATTGATTGCTTGATTGCTTGATTGATTGATTGATTTTACGTTCGCTTCACTACCGAGTAGTTGGGTTATCCAGATGAGTAGAACGAATTTAGTATGGAGTGGAGGGATAGGAGAGAAATACAGAGGAGAGAAGGAGCCTATATCCTGTATGTATTAACATATAAATCTATTTTTTGTAAGACGATTCCTAGGCCTAATGTTTGCCTTAACCTAACACAAGTCGTATAACAGCATCAAGTCTTGACCGGAAGTGAGGTACTGAGCCGCCGCCAATATTGCTAACGTCCACTGACAATTGGACAACTCACGAACCATTTAAAGTGCCATCATACTGTAATGTCAAAACGTGGAAACGGAAGCTGGAGTGATAACCTATCAATGAGTATAGATTATAATAAAAAGGGAAAAAAGGCAGAGGTCCTACGTGCGTCATAGGGACAACAAACCATTTTCAGTGTCCTGGTGGTGAACAGGAAAAAGGTACAGAAGGAAATACCTGATTATACTCGTCCCTAACTTTGTTGCATTCTATGATTATGCAGTTCTTTTTAGCCTGTCAATTTTTTTTGTTCTTTTCCCCGGAATTGCAATCTTGCAATAGTCTTTGGAGGCCTTTTAGTCATATCTTTGCACGCTCACAAAACCAATAAAGACCCGTACTCGGAAAAAAACCCACATGGTTCTTTAGTGGAATTTGACCTTAAATACGAGAGGAAGGTTAGTGGTGATGTCAATGCAGCATCACTCTCCACGGTTCTGACAGGACAATTGCACTATATCTTGATGTGTCTATATTTTTCAGTGAACCCTGTCCATGTGCCTTTTCTAGACAGCATCAGGTCAGTAGCCAATCTGTGGAGAGGCTATAGAGATTCGGTAAGACATTTATTTTCAAGTGATCACAGCCACCTTGCCTTTTAGTTTGATGTACCAAAGTAACGCAGGAGACGCCGTGTGTGTGTTAAGTTGGTGTATTCTTATGCATCTCGTTCATCGGCCTTAGATTGGCAAAAGTAAATCATGTAGCATCACCACTGGGTCCACACTAATACTGAATCAACTATTAAAGAATTAAACAGATCACTAGGCACCTGTTTTTATCTTATGAACAATACGTGTTTACCAAAAGTCTTTTCATGACGCATATGCAAATATTTACATTTCTACTTAACTTGGACTCAATATACCTACTTAACATTTAAAGGGTTATTTTTCAATGAACTTTTCAGTTGGCGTATGAATACATCAGTATATTATCAACCTAATTACTCTCTTATTCCGCGGAGCGCGGGAAGAAGTTCCATTAATAAACTGTTTTCAATTTTTTGTTTTTTTGTCAGAAGTATTTAATTGAATTCAAAAAATAATTTACATCTTAATTTGCTTATTCATCTTAACAGGACGACGTCTCACAGTGAATGATGACGTCATAAGTTTTGATACCTTCCGTGGTGTTAGACTTGCACAAGACCGATATTTTAGAAATTAACCGAACAAATATCAATATCGCTCTGAATGCAAGTATAAGGATAGAATCCAATTTTGTGGAGGTTTATGGGGTATAAACCTCAATGGGTCTTGAGACAAATTCAAAATGAACTGCTTCGCAGTTCATAAAATTTGTCTCAAAACCAATTGAGGTGTATACCCCATAAACCTCTACAAAATAGAATTCAATCCTTAAATAACCTCGCGCATGCAGCCATCAGAAAATCAACAAGTTACTGTATACCCGAAAAGGCATAAAAAATGTCGGACCTACAGGAAATCGAAGATAAACTGCAACATGTCAGCACCGTAAGTTGGAGAAGCAGGGACCATACCACTAAAAACAGGAAAGTTCATGATAACAAAAAATCGATATAATCATGGTCATTGTAAGCTAAGTCGTAGCTACCCCTCTTGGTCGTGTTCTAGGTAAAGTCGGGGTAAGATGTAGATGACACTGTAGTATCCTGGACTTCAAGCTCAGGAGAGGACATTCGACGGTGTCAATAACATTTTTGATATTTAAATAAAGTTGGTAGGTATATTTGAATGTAGAATTGAAGGTCTTTGCAAGGTTTGTTCTACTACACATACTAGGCTTTTGAAGCTCAGTATTAAGGTCGTTCGATTAATGACTAACGCTGCCACTCTTAATATATTACAGTAAACTGTTTACTCTCGTTACAACACTTGTTAGATTTCGTTAAAACGGTTTTTATATATTTACCTTAATAATATGATGCTTGCTAATTCTGTCGGACAATCTGAACTCGTTGTTATCTAAGTTCCTGAACATAAGGATTGTTTCTAGATATATTTATTTAACTAGCATTGCATTAATGTTGATAAGAGTTACGTGTTTCTACTACATGTTTTAAAATAAATAATAAAGAATAAATATATAAAAATATATATATATATATATATCTACAGGATGTTTGACAGCCATTTTGAATTTCGGTTGTTACTACATTGCAATCATTGTTATCTTAAAGTGTTTTAGTGATTGTCAGACACTTGGAATACAGAGGATGGTTCCAGTCAATTTCTAATGGGCTGATTGGCTAATTACAGACATTTCTCAACATAACGCCAAACCTCTTTTAAGTGTAAAATATTTTGTAAGACAAATACAATTAAATGGCAGTGTTACAATGTTTTATTACCCATAATGAACAAGCTCACTAAATGTAGTTACATTAATGATTTTATTGAATTTCAGCAAATGAATGAGATATCCATGAGGACACAGTTAGAGCTGCCACACACATGCATGAACACTGGTAACACCTGGTAGGTAGTTAGTGACACGACCCATTTTAACCTGTCACAAATGATAACTGCGTGTAACGGCCAGCTGGTACACATTCTACACCTACACTAACATAGACGTTCTGATACACGAGGATCTCGACCTTCATAGTGATTTCCTCTGTGTGTCTTTTTCAAAGTAAGCAAATGGATATTGAATGATGTTCAAGAAACCAGCCTGGCACTTTAATAAATTAAAACCTACCATCAGGATAACTGTTGTATTATGTTTACAAAATGAAGTTACATTTAAAAGATGTCTCTGATGTAGAGTTTTGTTGGAAATAAAACCGGAAATCGGTAAAAATCCGTTATATATACATGTGTAGCAGGAACCGCTACAGTTTACACTAACATTTATACTCTTCATAAAAACAAAATTAACCTCAAATAATGCACCGATACAAATTTCACAAATAAATAAAATGGTCATATGTGGTATTCACGAGAGAATGTTTTTTGCGATGTCGTAAGAACTGAAGACTAGTAACTTTGCGGTAGATAATTTTCAGTGTATTCATTATAAACAGTATGTGGCGATATTTGCGCAAATATAATAAACTCTTGCGAACTCCTTTTTTCGCGAGTGAATTCGTGCTTGCTGTCTAGTTTGTTACTCGAGAAATCGCTAAATTATCACGTGAATATAAGCATCCACTATGTACACATTTTTTCTCTATTTTCAGATCGCGATCAGATAGTTGATCCAAAGTAAGCGGTTTAAACATCACTCAAATATTTCGAATAAATGACTCACCAGAAAACTTTATTCAGAACAATTGAATTACGAGTAAAATAAAACACGATTATTATGAATCCGTGCGGTATTTGTAAAGACTAACTCGTTAAAGCAAATAATTATTGCTAAACTTAACGTGTACGAGACAAATCTTTGATTGAGTCAAAAACAGGACCTTGTCATCAGCACAGATTTGTTTTCAGCGTATTTGTTAAAAAGAGTAACAGGTTTCATTTCACTTATTTCCAATAAACGTATTACTATGTGTATCAGTTATCAGGAACTTTTGAATTACAAGCATATTGGGCAAATATAATATAAGAATAAGCATAATACCGATATTCATAGCTAAACCATTACAGGGAAAATTTACTAAGGTATGTGATAAAAAGAAAACTGTAGAACACTTTTTTTACACTACGTGCTGGAATAGATTGACTTTTTTCCGAGTTTGAAATTTCCAGAAGGTAAACAGTCGACTTACAAATGCAAATGTCAATACTCTAAAACAAATTACCGCGAACATGTACAGCTCACAAAATGTTTGTGACAAACAGTAGGTGAGAATATTTAACTTATTTATTTGTTTTCTCCGTTGAAATAAATCACGATTCACTGCTACCCTCGGAGACCATACCAACCTTTAAAACAGGAACCGTGTCACTCCGGTCACGTGTCATCCGAAACAAAAACATTTTTGAATATTAGCATGGAAATTCATTAATCCGGATAAATTATGAAATATTTAGTGTTAAAACCTATGTGGTGTGTCTTAGTAGTATGGCTCAAAATGTTGTTGATACATTCACGTCATTCTTGTCAAATTCGCTCATGCAAACTAGTTAGTCGAAATCCAAAGATGTAGTTGTTGTATGCATTCGTTTCATTGAAATTTTCTTGAAGCATTCTCGAAATTGCAGTAAATCGCTGAGAGATTTTCTGAATTGCGCACTAAGGCAAACATAAATCCAAAAGTTCACAAGAAAACTCACGTAAACGAGAACGTTGAGAATGACGGCGAGATATAACGTAGTCAGACTGCTGAATAACGTATTGTCATAAAACAAAATGGCGAACACCATTCCATTCGGGAGTTCTACTAGTATAAACATGACGACGAGGATAATAATCATTTGGGAGGTCCGTTTGATCTGCCGAAAGTCTCGGCGCTCTCGTTCGTTTTCCTCGTGCGCGTGTAAAAGTAATATCCGCTTAGATTCTGATTTCAACTTCCGGACAAGCAGAAATGTCGTCACTATCAGTAGAGTACAAGGCACCAGTTGGCCGAGGGCACACCGAAAGATATTTACAAGTCTCTCGTACTTTTCCGAGATGTCTGGATTGTCATGACAAAGGCACATATCTTGCGTAAATCCGTTTTCATCAACGACTCGGATGAAATCGTAATTCGTGTAGAGAAATCTTGGGGTGTACATTGCTGCTGCGAGAAACAGACTCCCCAACACGCTATACAAGGAAACCCGGATTGTACAGAGTCTTGGCCCCACAAAGGGGTGCGCTATGACAATGTAGCGCTGAATGCCCAAACACGTGGTAATCCAAACGGAGGCTGTATGGAACAAGGAGCTTAAGTGAGACAAGTAGTCGTAAAAATAGCACATAGGGTAATCCATAGGGGTATCAGCGTGACCCAGCCCATAGATGTACACATATAAATAACTAATGACCCCTCCCGACATAGTGTCACTCATTGCTAGAGCAATCAAAAGTATAGTTGTAGGGGATCGCATCTTCTTCCGGGTAAACACCGCAATGACCAGGACGTTTGTGATAAGCGTCACACCGAAGATGATTGGACATAGCACCCCATACACGCCAAATGCAAAGGGGTATGCGTGGGGTAGACATGTTTCGTTCTCGAAGTTACCTTTGAGATTCACGGTAATATTGCTGCTGGTATTTCCGGATTCCGGACGAAAATCCTGATAATCCCCAACAGCCATATCGATTAATGTCAAATGTTTTCAAGTATGAATTCGACAGTCGGTTTTCACTCACGCATTCGATAATTGATTCACACTGTATGGTCATACGTCAAAGTCAAATATGTTTGTCCCTTTATCCGACTTTGTACACCGTGAATGATATATAAAACACGATTACAATATTAAGAACTTCTATATAAAGCAACATACGCCTGTATATTGGGTTGACAACTTTTTTGTCGGGATGGCGTCTGAATTTTATATATTTACCTGGCGACTTACTTGTACAGTCCGCAATTTATCGTATATATTTCAGCGCACATATACAATTTTTGTCAAAGTCCTTTATCGAATATGCCCACATACTGCTCGGGGATAACACATATTTTCATTTAAAGATATCCTCACATGATTCGGCAGAAAAAAGTTTTCTTTAGCTGTTGTAATTTGGCTGAAGCTAAAATCCCTTGTTTCCAGTCGCCCGGTCACCCACCGAGTGTGGCTATCCTCTGTTAGCATACGAACCGGAATCAGAGGCCCGTTGACGCGTTTATGAAACAAACACTCCCGTTCAATCAATAGAAGGTATTTAGTGGTTAAACCGTTGTCCAGGAGTATTGAGAACTGTTAAACCTGTTAACGGTCTATTGGTTTGTATCAGAATATATCAGCAAAACGTTGTCCTCATTTGCACTTATAGTATACTTGACTTGTTTGTGGCATTGTCCTGAAAAGTACACACCTAACTTTGTCATCTCCCGTGTGACGTCGTCCAGGCTCCGTAACTACCCTCAAGCAAAGTCACTGTCTGTGTGTACGTCGACACGGCATGTGCACTACCGGAAACAAAGTATTTAACACGTATGTAACTATGACACGTCGCCTCTGTATTGGTTACATTTGACATCAATGGGTTTTATAAAGTCGCCCTTGCTATTTCACAACTCATTATTTGTACGCTGTCCAATCACTTACATACGACTCACTACCTGACGGGTTTTTTCTTGGAAAACAGTTCATCTGAACTCTCCGATACCTGCTGTACATATAGCAGTAGACTGGTGTGTCTGTGGATGCGGTGCCGTCCTCAGCATATATACATATCCATTAGCTCGCTTACCATATAGATCTGTTACACACACTAACTATCTGTCCTTCTCTAAGAGATGCTTACCAAACTTGTTTAGAGCTAGGGGTATTTATCACCAAGTAAGTGTTTTTGGAGTCGTATATTTGTCAACTTTCTTGAATCAATTTACATTTTGGCGACATTACGATTTCGTTGATCCATTTCCGAATATCACATACAACAGTGCTTTAACACAGTTGGAATGATTTTATCAAAAACCTTTCAGCAAGCTTTACCTCGATTTATTTCATAAGGACGAGTTATAATAATAACGCCAATTGTTTTCTGTCCTCTAGCTTGATTAGTTGGCGTATAAATTGTCTGCCAGGTTCAAAGGTTTTAATTCTATTATATAAAATTCGTCATGAATGTCACTGTTCACATTGTTCTCACCCTTTAACATTAGATAATTTTACAGCACAAGAAATATTTGAAGACATCACAGGAACGGCAATATATGTAATCCTATCCCTCTTGCCCCTAAGCACACTGCCCACTACATAACCTGGTTTACCGTCATGGTAACTGTATGCAGGGATGACAGCGGGATCTCATTCATTATCAATGGATCTAACATGGGCGGCACATGTATCCACATGGATTATCTGTCTTGTCATTGACCATCCTTGATTGTTCTCGTGTACACGTATCCCCTTCACCCTGGTATGTACGTGTGAAGAGGTAGCAGTATACGTATTGGCACGATGTGTCCAATTATCCCAGCGTTCATTGGACTCTTTTGGCCCCCGTCGATGACCATGCATGTTGTGAAAGCTTCGGAATAGCATATTTGTTCTAATTAGTGGTATTTAAGAATTGTAAATACGCCTCATGAAGGGCTTACTCATCCCGCAACACAATAACAAGTTTAAACAGCCCTGCATAAAAGTATACTAATCCGAGCCTCTTTATCGCTTTACATTTAGATTCGGCCTTTAGCCAAGCATTGTCAAATCGAAATGTTACAGAAATGTTTAACGTAAAAATCATCATTATAAAAGATCTGTGTTCAATCAGAGATATATACAGACTGTATCAAATTAAAACTAAATGAAGAGAAATGACGCAGTTTATTCAATTGAAGGGGAGGAAATTTGAATCTAACACCTTTTGTAGTTTTATGGTAATTGAAACAATAACGGATTTTAGCTTTTTTGTAGATTTTTATTGTGATACATTGTATACATAAAATCACTTACGTAAATTGAAACTGTTATCACAAACAGTGTGGTTTAAAATTGTATGTCTTTGTGTACATCTACATGAAGGAACAGCAGGGCTGACAAAGACAATTGCCTTCCACACCGACGGCTGGGGTTCGATCCCCAAATATGTTTACTCTTAGAATATTAATCTTAATGTTCAGACTTGCTCTCAAATGTTCAAGAGTGTAATTCGTCAACAATTTCAAGTCAAGAGTTAACTCTTTTTTTAATCATAAATATTTTAATATTTTAATCAAGGAACCCTTAAAAGTATCTCCTTTTTATGGTTAACTTTTTGTTTTCCGATTCCGGTGTCAAGATAGCAACTTGAATAGGACTCGAATACTAAAGGTCTGACCGCACGTAGGGTCATTGAAATAATTTCGAAATCTGTGTGTATGTATACATATGTGTATTAACCAAAAAAATAAAAAAAAAAAAACAGTTAAGCATTGCTAACGTTTTAAAGTCTCGTTGCCATCTTTGGGCTTCATGTTTATATGAATCACACAAAAAACTTCATTGATTCTTCTCACATATTCCTATTTCGTTGATCTCTGAAAATGACAAAAAATAAACTTGTTGATCGTGTAGAAATATATACCTCTAAGAGATGGTTGCAGAGGGGCTATAAAATGAAATAAATAAGAGTGTTTGATACCGTGTCACAAAGTTCTTCATACTTCTGCAGCTCGTAACTACAGTTGAAATATTTATGCTGGGACATTTAAAAGACCATCGTGTGCTCGATATTTTCACTAAATTATCAGGAAACTTTTAATCCTGGCTCAACTACAAACAGTTGTTAACGTACTTCTTACTAACGGTACATACGCGAACGCGTTTTACAATTATACATTATTAAGGCTTACAAGCAGATATTGGAAGATAAATTGGTCATCTTGTTTTCATTGAATGCTAATGCAAGCATGTATTCTGAATCGACAGCATTTTGCAAACCTCATCTCAATCATTGGCATGAATGAGTCATTTTATTTTCAGTTTCAGTTTTAAACAATACAGTTACATGTATCGTGTTTTGTGCATGGACAATATTCTCCACCCTAAGGAGACATTTTATTGTGCAAACTTTCATAATAATATCTATTGTTATTTAAATTCAAGTTCCAGGTTTTATTACTTTGAGCCTTTTTGTTCGTCTGTGTAAAGTAAGGTCTCGCTATCAGCTTACTTGATCTAAAGGACCGGTGAGTTTATGCTGCCGCCCGTTATCCCTCTGTTGTCCGTCGTCCGTCTTTCATTTCTCTTAAAAGCTTACTTCCCCTGAACGACTGACCAGAGTTCGCCCTAATTTGCTGTGATGTATGTATTGGACTAGAAACTCAGACTTTTTACAACGCATGGATGTGGCGACCGGTGGCGGAAGATGGAACCGGATATATGGAACTCGGTGGATTTCAGCCTTCGGAATATTACTGCTTCTGAATGCCAGAATGGCTCAATACAAAGTCAGGCTGTAAACCATGTGTGTTTGCAAGCTCGGCCTAAAATAGTGCAAAATAAGGTAATATGATCTAAACTGCAGAAGTAGTTGCCAATTTTGGTCTAAAAAAGCATCTGTAAAGCGATAATATTTTTTTATTAATGAAGTTTGTGCGACCAGATTTATTATGGATAGGGGATTTTGAGTGTACAGATAAGTTAAAGTATTTGAAATCAACCGAGAACCCCGATATATAAATACATACACAGAGAGAGGGTATGAAGAGACTTAAGTGCTAAAAGGATTTACCTCGGGTTCCGGCACCGCCTCTCGGGACTTAGGCCCTGGGTCAGAACATGGAAACGGCCCCTACTCAATACTCTTATTTACATTACAAAAGATGAACATGTAGAGATTAGCACAAACATGCTTCCATGACAAGCCCATGAATCTTGCCTTACTCCTAGGGACTTATATATAAAAACGGTTTGGTCACAGAACAAAGTGGTCTTTATAATGACAAAGTAACCAGGAATAGAACATTTTCAATTTGACCAAATAAGCTATATATTGACAAAAACAAAATAGAAAGTTCCCGAATTGGACTACCAGACTCGATAACAAAGTAGAAAATGATGTCCACATGGACCTACCAATCTACATGTACATAGCCACAGTGCCACAACAAAAACGTTTCCAAATAGGCAAAACAATCAAGACCTCACAAAAATGCCGATAACATGAAAACTAACTACATACATTATAAACCTTTACGACTATCCCAGGAAATTTAACAAGCAGGGTGATGGTATTGAGGCTGATGGAATAACTGCACGAAACAAAAACAATGAGGATTCTGGGTCACGTCAATCCATCACAATTCCGCCCATTATGCTGTTGTCTTTAAATTTTTATTTCCAATCAAAACATCGTAGTTACCTTAACTTGCCTTCAAACATTATTTCCTCGAAACCTTTGTTTGTTCTGTGATGTCTATAATGTCCATGAGATTGATACTTGTGGTCCAGATAATTGATCCGTATGTGGAACTAATGCTATCCGGCCCAGGGTTTATACCCAGAAGGGGGAAATCCGGGGGTTATGTAGAGTCTTCACGAGAGCTATTGCATTAAAATAAGAGGTACACGCGAAACCGTCTCATCCAATCATAATCAACGTATTTCAGCGTGTTCATTAATGTGTCCAAAGCCCTATGACGTTTCTCCTAATACTGGACTTTATGGTCACTTTGTGCTTATTAAAAGTGACAAATCGTTGTAATAATAAAGATAAATTGTGCGTTTGTCCGATATTATAGATTTGTATCTGGATACGAAGTCTGTAACAGCAATATCTCAGGAAAGCCGCTGAATGGCGTGACATTTTTTCACAAGCTACGTATTGTCAGTTGACAGTCTGCCTATAGGCGGGCCTCCATTGATGTCGTCAATACCACGGGTCCACATGCATATTCTGACATTCAATAATAGAAATGCATAACTCCGGGGAGGCATTCCATTTTACGATCGATTCAGTTAACATTACTATGTCAATATCTATCAAAACCTGGAGAGGACATGCCACGCTTGAGCAAATGTTTTTACTTTTATGATATTTTTATGAGTGAATTTGAAGCGTATGTACAGTCACTGTCCCTGCATGTGAATGTGTATTTACTGTAGTACAGGTTTGTAGATTTCGTTAAGATTAACCCGAGGATAAACGTGTGTGTATAACGCCTATTTCCTTTGATTTGGCTAATAAGACACTGCATCATATGAACGCAGATGTCGTACAAATCGTATTTTCTATGTACGATGTTGATCGGAATTACATGTTACTTAAGCAACAACTATTCCGAAAACAAGTTTAGCTAGGGGGTGATATAGGATTAAAGTGTATCTACCATTGATAGACAGTAATACTCTATCATGTTTCCAACACATTATACCCATCATAATATACCCTACCATAATACCCTACCAACACATTACACGCGAGTGATGCAATAGGCGTTTGCTAACGAAAACAAAGATACAAAAATTAAGCGTCGGAACTTATGATGAGGAAAATTTTAAACTAAGACAGGTATGTGTAAATACAGCAATATCTGTTGCTAAAACTATCAT